TTCCCTGAAACCCCTTCTGACACCTACAGTGTGAATCTGCTGAACATCAATACATTCTCTTAAACTACTTGTTCAACAGTTCAATTCTGACATTGAAGCCAGAATTAGGCAGGCAATGTAGATAGGTAAATCAGGTGGGGTCAAGGTATCCAATTTTAAGTTAGTCTGAGCCCTTCCTCCACCCTTATTAAGAACCTGCCCCTGCTCCAACCTGTTGCCTAGGTAACCTGTCCCAGGAATTTCCCCTCCCTACAGGGAGCTATAAGGTTGTTAATGTGTCCTTGTCTACTCCACCCTGCCCTTCCCCTTTAAGCCCACCAGTTTCTCAACTTTTGGCCCTCCCAAGAATTCCTGGTCCAAGTCCTGAGCAAGAAAGATGGGGGGGGGGGGAGAGGAGGCAGGAAAACGAAGGACTCTCAATACCCCCTCCTCAAGTTCAATGATTTGATTTTAGCAAAGCATGTCACTTATGTTTAGTTTACTATAAAGGATACAAATTAGGATTGGCCAAAATGAAAAAAGATATATAAGAAAAAGAAAGTGCCAAAGGGAATTGGGAAAGATCTATGAATGAAGAAACCCCCTTTTCTGCTTTCTGCTAGAGCAGTTCCTGCAGAGACCCCCTTCTCATTATCACTTAGAGGTTGCTTTTTTAACCCATGGCAATCACACCCTGATGCTAAAAATACCTCCCCTCTTTGTTTTCTCTTCAGTGATTAGAACAAATCTTAATCAAACTAAAGTTTCCCTCCTTCCTCCAGGACCCTGAACTCTGACCCAAAGGCAGCTGGAAACCCCATACAGCCTCCTTCCTGATCCCTCCTGAGAAGAGGCTGACTTCTGGGAAACATTCTCTGACCTGCCCTCCTCCTTGCTACCCTCCCTACAGCTTCCTAACCTGTTTACCCCTCCCTAGGAAAGCAGCCCTTTTCTGTAGAAGCTGTGGGTGCTTACAGAGTTCACCTGTGGTTCCGGACCCCTCTCCTGCAGTGCACCTTTGCTGAGGGCCATTGCCAAGTAGGAATGACCCATCGAAATTTCCTTGCCAGCATACCCCATGTTAAATGGACTTGCCTTGGAAATCCGCTGTGACCTTGCATGTGTTTGAGAAAGGTGACCCTGCTCAAGGACGAGGGTGGATCTAGGTTTAAGGTGTATCCCGCAGGTTTGAGGAAGTATCCCGCTCCTTGGGTTTAGGGCGTTCCCGGTTGAAGACAATGGGGTTTTAGGGAAGTTCCAGGTTTAAGTTTATTGCTGCTGGGAATAGGGTGTTCCTGCTGCCTGAGTTCCCGCTGAGAAAGTATTTGGGGATGTGAATTGGCGGCAGAATGCGGATTTCCCCAGAAAGTGTTTGTAGAGGCCGGTGTGAGTTGAGAATAAAGAATTGCTGTTTGAATCTACAAAGCTGTGTGGTGGCTCGTGATCTTGTGCCCAGCAGAGACATTGGCACTCCTTAAAATAAGTGCTTCTCACCCCAATCTGTTTTTGTTTCATTGCACACTCTGGGAACAGCCTTGATCTGTTTTTGTTTCATTGCACACTCTGGGAACAGCCTTGGACAATATGCACCCTCAGAAAGGGAATCCCCTTAGCATTCCCATCCCTCCCCACATCTGCCTGAGGACCCTAGGTTTCCAGAGTTCTGTAGCTTCTCAGTCTAAAGGGCTCCTTCCAAGGTTAGTGTAAGCAGCCTGGGCCTCTGCAGGGGAGGCTGCACAGAAAGCTCTGACTGGACCTTCAGTGACTTCCTTTTGCAGGACCAATTCTGGCCTTGGATTATAGTCACTAGGATCAAGGATCTCTGCTTCTCAGTCATGTTTCTAATCCGAAGAGACTTGGTGTTTAAAGAACCCAGAAAAATCACTCAAACTCAAGTGTTTATGTTTAAGGAGGAAAAATTTTAAGACACACTTCAACAGGAAAGTCAAACTTACTCTCTATCAGATAATAAACATGTTATTTAATTAATATTTCCAAGATAACATATTTGGTATTCATTCATCACAGGTGACTACTATTAGGAATTGCCTAGCTTTGGTCAATAGTGTCAGTCTTAAAACATTCACCTGCAGTTCACAGCGTACAGAACAGATCCATCCACTGCCAAACCCCTGCAAACTACAGGAGCTGATGTTTTGGTGAATCTTTCTAATGAAACTGAAGCCAGATTTAAAGATAGGTAGTGTAGTTAGGTAAATTGGGTCTAACAGGTCTAACATCCAGTAAAATCAAAAGTAAAGGCCATGTTGAGAATGTAGTCCAGGAAAGCAGAGCACCACTTGGGAAATTGAAATGTTAATGTTCCCAAGGACCAGAGCCCAACCCAAGGAAATGTTAATGAAGCAGTTCCTAGGAAACTGGGAGATGCTCATCCAAAAGTCCTTCCTATCCAGATTACACCTTTGGTCCACCTGTCCCCACCCTTTGGGCCTTCCCACCTACATTCCATCACTGAAAGGTAACAGAACAAAGGACAGGAATGAGGGAGAGCTGAAAGAAGACCTCAGCTATAAAAAGGGGAAGACATTGCCCTTCCACAGATTCCAGTCTTGGGTCCCCTTCTTCTTCCAGGGAGAAGTCTTTTCTGCTGACATTAATAAAGCTTCTACTTTCCACTCTAAAATTGCCTCGACGTGCTTCTCTGGTGTTATATTTCAGCACTGGGGAAGCAAGGACTGCTTTCCACTCTGCAACCACACTGGAACAAGATTGTATTTCTTTTCCCAGGTGGCATTCCCAAAGCAAAGTCCTGGAATTCTGTTTTAACTCACCCCCCAAGCATAGTGAGTACTCTCACCCTGGGGGAGGAAAAGATACATAAGAATTTTTAACTAGCAAGATGTGGTAGTACAGGCCTCTAATCCCAGTGACTCCAGAGGATGACACAGGAGAAACACAAGTTCAAATCCAGCCTCAGTGACTGAGCAAGACCCTCAGCAACTAATGAGTAAGGTTGAATCTCTGTAATAATGAAACAAACTTATCCACCAAAATTTCTTCTAGGAATGAGCCACACTGAAACAGATTTCCTGGGGCTGGGATTGTGGCTCAATGGTAGAGCACTTGACTAGCATGTGTGAGGCCCTGGGTTTGAGTCTCAGCACTGCATATAAATAAAGATCCATTTACAACTAAAATTAAAAAAAAAAAAGAAAGAAATACAGATTTCCACCATTTCTATTCCCAGATAGCATTTCCAGAACAAAGCTCTGGAATTCTATATTAAATTACCAATTCCACCCCCACCCCCACCAAATTAAATTTTAAAAAAAATTATTCTAAGAAACTCAGTAAACTCACTCTGGGGAAGCAAAACAGTACATAAGAATCTTTAAATAATGAAATATAAGACCAAATGTTTCCTTTTTTCTTTAATCTGGTTTCTTACCCTGACTTATAATTCTATCTTGTCCTTTAGTAATATTCTCTTCCAGCTCTAGCATTAAATTACATTTTACAACTAATGAAAAACTGAAGTTAAGTAAGTGAGCAAGTCTTTCCAAGGCAACAAACCCAGGGAGCTGCAGCACCACTGGACACTGACCTGTCAGATCTCAGCTTGGTCAGGCATCTGTCACCAGGCACATCCTCCCACCCCCTTCCTGCTGCTGAAGAGCTTTGTAGGGCTTTGCTCCACCTTGCTGGGGTCAGATTTCCCTGCTCTTAGGGATAACTGTTCTTCTTTCACAGCTCTGAGCACATCTAGAGGGCAGGAACCATGTGTGTCATGTTCCCCCAACATCAGCATCTCACTGCCTGACCCAGGTGTCTCCTGTTGCTCCCCTGGGAGGCTGCTCCCCAAACCTCAAGTTGCCCTCTAGGAGGAGCTGACCCAGGGTCTGAAACTGCCTGCACCCTGCAGGGCACAGAGAAGCTGTGGGCACCTAGTTGCAGCCCCACCAAAGGACAGGACAGTGGCTGAGGACCCAGGATCCTGTGTAATGGCCAATAACACCTCTGCCCAGAGAGACTGTTTCTGTGCCTAGACATGATGAAGAGAGGCATAAGTACTTTTTAAACTCAAGTTGCAGGTCATTCCTGTCTGCTTTCCAGTCATGGAAAATGTTTGCCCACCTTTCAAAAAAAAAAAATTAAAAAATTATTTAAAATTTAAATCATCCATTGTTGTGAAACTTTTGATAATTAAAACACTGTCTATTTGAATGTAGACTGGAACAAATGGTTGGCAAAGTGTGAACTGGAGGGTGCAGTTGGCATCTGGGAATGTGGGAGGGAACTGGAATTTCAGGTGTCTGCTGCCAGCCTTAGGAGGAGCCAGGTTCCAGAATGGAAAATGTATTTGATACTGTTCCCTGCACATTTAGGAGTATGTGTCTGTAGGACTCAACAGATTAATCCTGTGGAGAAAAGAGGGACAGACTGGAACCCCTAAGGCCAAATGTCACAGTCAGAACACACCTGGGTCCAGATACCTGACCCTTCCCTTCTCACCACACACTCTGGGAGCATCAGGCCACATAAGCTGCACAGATCTGAACCAGGGACGTCGCCAACAGGGAGAAGAAAAAGAGGACAGGGACCTGCTGCCCAGCTCACCCATGGGACAGAGGTCAGGGAGACCGCCCAAGCTGAGACTCGGTCGAACGCTCTGCAACTGATCTCGGGGACCCGCGGCCCATCCGACCCCACAGACCCCGGGGACAGGGGTCAGGGCCCAGGGCCACCCGCCAGCGTGGACAATGCCAAACTCCGCAGCGAACCACGGGGACTCGCTCTCAGTCCGTCCCGAGGGACCAAGGGTCTGGAGTCTAGGGCCTGCAGAGAGGGACTCATTAACATGTTCTGCAGCTGACCGGGAACCCTCCTCCCAGCCTACCCTGCGGGACCAGGGGACAGGCCCCAGGGCCAGCCGCCGGTCGGGACTCTGTAACACAGTGTGCAGCTGACCAGGGGACCCACCTCCCAGCCCACCCCGCGGGACCGGGGGACAGGCCCCAGGGCCACCCACCGGCCAGGATTCGGCCCACTCCGTCGCTCACCCGCACGCCAGGTCCCGCCATTCCTGTGCCCCTGGCGATCCCTGGCCGCACACTCTCCGTTTGGGCTCCGGGGTCACCTGCCGTCCTCACGAAGGAACTTCGGCCACCCGATCTCGTGGGGCTCTCTGGCTGCGACCGGAATCCGTACCCAAAACACGCGACCCGAGGAGGAGGGAACGGAGCCGCGCGGTCGAGCTAGGAAAGCGCGAGACTGCGGAAGCCCGCCCTTGCCCCGGCTGTGCGCCTGATTGGGCAGCGCCGCCCTGAGAGACAGCCTCCAGGTCCCGCCCCCGCCTGAGGGACAGCTAAAGTAACCAATCCCTGATGAAATAGGCCCAACCCTTTTCAGGCAGCACCTCCTCCCGGGCTGGGGCCTGACACCACAGGTAACGCTTGTGCGCACCTGGAGCAGCCCGCGGCGTCTGAATAAGACCCACCGGGACGGCGGTGTGTAGAATTCGGTGCTGTGCACACGGGAGCCACGGAGGAGCGTGTTAAGACCTTAAGTCACATGACCTTCCTGCCCTGGGTTCAGGGTGGGCCTGAGCCCTGGAAAGGAGGCCCGTTCAACTGAAATGAAGTGCTCAGTAAGTACCTTTGACTTTTCTGAAGGCCACGTGAAAATGTTCAAAGGAACAGGTGAAACTACCCGGCACAGCTCAGCCGTACAGTGCTTTTCTGGCAAATCAAAGCCCTGGGTTCCAGCCCAGCAAAAACAAGATGATTCAGAAAACAAGAGAGAAAGTCACAGGTGAGGTTGGTTGTGATGTCTTTAAAGCAGTATATGTAAAATGTCATTGATGAACTATGCAAACAGTACAATGAGGTATTGCTACTAATAACATGTCTTTATGGTGCTACTCTTTAGGACAGTGCTCAAAGAAATCTCTGGAGACAGAATCTCAAGCTCAAAATGCAAATTTATTGACAAGAAGAACTTGCCCGTCCAGTAGAGTGGCACAACATAACACATTTATTTGAATAGGGTTTTTGTAACTTTTTAACAAGGAGCAAGAGCAAGCTAGAAACGACTTTGGGTGTGGGTGGCTGGGTAATAACAGACTTTTGTATTTAGGGACCTTCGGGGGGGGGCATTATGGGAACATGGCATTTTAAGTTTCTTTTTCTTGGCATCTTATGTTATGGGAACAGGGAATCTTAGGTTTTTTCTTGGTAGTTCTGAGGCTCAGAAACAAAATGAGTTACTACTGTCCAAGAGTCTAACACTTCAGCCTTTTATTTTATAATGATAAAGGGTATCATTCCTCCTGGCTTATTTGAGCTCAATAGGGGCAAAGAATGGTTTAGGACAGATCTTCAGGGGAGGGCTATATTGGCTCATAAGGAGCTAGTTTATAGTCTGATTAGTGAATGCCTTTACTGGATCTTGTAGAAATTTCTTTAGGTAAGATAAGATAAGATTATAGATAAGATCCTACCTGAGAGCTCCATGATTATGTAAGGATGAGGTCCTTCAACGGGAGTAGCCAGGGAAGAGATTCCAGGGTCAAGGCTGCTGCTGCTTCTGCTGGAACATCTGGATGCTCTCTTGGAGCTCTAACAGCATTCCTCTCCTAAAAAAGTCACAAGTGCCTCCCTTCTTTGCCAATATTAGACCAATGGCTCTCCTATGTCTGATGTGTGGTGTTATTGGAATGGGTAGACTTTCTGGGTTTAAGTGTCAGTTTAAGAAGTAAGGAAAATTAAGGTATGCAAGCCAGTTTATAAGTCTCGCAAAGGATGAAAACCTCAGAAGTTAGGGGATTCAGGGCTGTGGGACAAACGTAAATATGAATTCTAAGATTTTTTTCTCTTTTAAATTTTATTTATTTATTTATTTTAGTTGTTGATGGACCTTTATTTTTTATTTATATGCAGTGCTGAGAATTGAAACCGAGTGTCTCATATATTTGAGGCAAACACTCTACCACTGAGCCACAGCCCCAGCCCCATTCTAAGTTTTATTTAAAATAATTATTGTTTTTCCTCTAAAATGTCCATATGTGGCTGTGTTTGGGTTATATTGTCCTGCCAAGTGTTTAAGGTCAAGTTAGTCAAAAATTGACCTGGTTCCTATCTGTTGTTAAGAGTGAACTCTGAAGGTCTGGGGACATAGTTCAGTTGATAGAGTGGTTGCCTCACAAGCACTAGACCCTGGGTTCAATCCCCAGCAAAACACACACACACACAAAGAGCTAAGTTCCCAAAGGGGTCAATCTTGGGGAACTTGAGAGTAGCTTCTTAACTCTTTTAGTGCCATCTGCCAGGTAGGGTTTCCTTGATGAGGTGGCTTCTCTTGGAATCATCAGGAATGTTTCCCTTCTTGAATGATCTTCTTCTTTGCAGCAGGTATACTAATTAACTTTTCATTTACCAGTGGTCTCATTAATCTCCCTAATCAGGAAGTCATGTGGCCCAGAGTAGTAAAGCTCCTTGGAGAAGTTCTCTTATTCCCTGGGTTTAGGCTGACTCAGAGGAATAAGAGCCAAACATTGGTTTTCTTGGCCCCTTTATTTAAGCTCAAGTTTTAAATCTTGATCTTAAACATCCAGCAAGCCAGCTCCACCAGTCTTAAAGTACAGAGTTTTAACCTTAATGTTTGTAACTTTACCCCTTATATTTAATTGGAGTCTGTATTAGTATTGGAAGTTAGCCTTATATTTTATCTGACCTCAGGTAATGGCTTATTATCTTAAATTAATCTAGGTTGTGTGTTTTTTAAGTAGTACCTCTACAAAACATCAACAGGTAACAGTTATAAAGTTTACAAGGAAAATACAAAATGAAATTAAAAAGAGTAAGAACATGTTTGGTTTGTGTAACAGCTGTCTTGAACTTCAGCTGCCTTATGCATTATATACCTATTTGAGATCACAGTAATCTTTAGAACATTAAACTTCTACATATAACTGTAAATGAGCTGAAGGCCAGCCTGTTTTGGAGCCATTATAACATGTAGTAAGGTGGAAGGCAGAGCCTCATGTCAAGTAAGATGGGGCTCTTGATAAATTTTAGGTAAAGTGGTCTAGTTTTGAACCTGATTTTTGCCTGTTTCTTAAATATAATTTTTACAAAGTTTACACATATTGGTTTTTGAGTCTATCTGGATGTTAGGTAATACAATATAACATTACATCTAAAACATGACTCAAAGGCTAAGAGAGCTTTTAACTCCCCTTTTGTGGGGATAAGTGGGAAAATGTTTTCATATTTTATAATATCACCTCCAAACAGATGAGGCTCTCCTTATTATCTTTTAAGCGTGCATTTAAACTCTAATTCCAGTGTGAAGAGTAAGACAAAATGGTATATATAACTTATTGATAACACGTTAATTTATTTTATTTATTTATTTTTTTAATATTTATTTATTTTTTTTTTAGTTCTCGGCGGACACAACATCTTTGTTGGTATGTGGTGCTGAGGATCGAACCCGGGCCGCACGCATGCCAGGCGAGCACGCTACCGCTTGAGCCACATCCCCAGCCCCAACACGTTAATTTATCCAGCTATGAAACATTAACTGAGACAAATAAATATTAACTCAGTTTGTTATTTTTACACAAATGTGAGATTCTTGCTACAGATAATTTTAGTTTGGAGAACACCAGTGTGGCAAAGTACTCTCTTAAGCTTTATATTTAACTGAGGTTAACTTTTAAAGTACAATTTAGAATCTAGCCTTAAATCTCTTATACATTTGGGAAACAATGTTAATGATCAGAAATTGACTTAGTCAAAGTAAATAGATATAAGACAGATTTCTAGGGGCTGGGGTTATGGCTCATCGGTAAAGCACTTGCCTAGCAAGTGTGAGCCCCTGATTTCGATCCTCAGCAACATATATAAATAAAAGGTTTTAAAAAAAGAGACAGTATGGCCCTTCATGGCCATGTATAAAAGAAAACAGTTTTTGGTTATCTTGCTGGTGTATTTACATAAACTTTCACATGACACATAGGCTTAAACAGATGTAGTTCTCAGATGTATACATATACCTAGTTGCATTTGTTTTTTGTGTCAACTATATTGTTATAATTTAAATGACAACTATTTGTTTAACCAATTATAAGGTAATCATATAAGACTTTAAAACAGGTGCAAACCCTAGTTTCTTCAAGAGTTAATTTCCCGCTGGGAGCAGTGGCACATGCCTGTAATCCCAGTAACTAGGGAGTCTGAGATAGGAGAATCTCGAGTTCAAAGCCAGCCTGAGTAACTTAGCAAGGCACTAAGCAACTCTGCGAGATCCTGTCTGTAAAATACAAAATAGGCCTGGGGATGTGTTTCAGTGCTCCCGAGTTCAATCATTGGTGTCCCCCTCCAAAAAAAAAAAAACAGTTTCTCTAAGTAACAAATATAAGAAAATTATTTTGCTAGGTAAAAATGAATCAATGTTTTAGACTTAATTTCCTGTCAGTACATCAAAGTTTAAATAACTGACTGTGCTAACAAAAGACCCAGACAAATGCAAACCTCAAAATCGGCTCAGGTTTTTTTGTTTGTTTATTTTTTTCTTCCTGATTTGTGAAGTTTGCTGAGTGTGTAAGGGAAGGGAAAATTGGGGAAGAGAAACAGTAATCTCTTTTCAAGCCAACATAACCCTTGGTATAGATGCTTTTTACTGTCCACGTGGTATAAAACCATAAGAGTTTAGCATATAGTTGATATGAGGTCCTTCAGAGGGCTGTTGGAGTCAGGTCTTGGGCTCAAAGCATTTGTGCAGCACTAAGGAGTCGCCCCAGCCAGATGCTCTCAGTCACTTGGAGCTGCCTGGCTGCCACCCGCAGCAAACCTTTCCCACCCAGCGGTGGATATTTGTCCCCTAAGGCTGCTGGAGGTAGCTTCAGGCTCAAGACCTTCACACTGCACCAGAGTGGCCACCTCGGGCGGAATTCAGTTGCCTTGGGCTTGTGGCCTCTCCCTTGTACCCAATCTCTCCCACATCAAGGGGATAGCAGAGGACACGGGCAACCTCCGATGACAGGGTGGAGAAATGCAGAATTAGATTCAGTCGGATCCTGATGCCACTGGCTCTCGCTGGCTCTTCCTTCCGCTTCCACAGCACAGCTTCTGTGTGGTTGCCTCCGGAGGAAGTGAAGAAGCTTGAATCAGGACAAGAAGAGCATTGTGGGAAGCCATTCTCTCATGTGATTGGGCAACTCCCTGATTGGGTGTGAGGCGTTCTGGCTAAACTGTGTTGGAACTAATCCCCACCCTTTCCAGATGTGAGACCCTGAGACCAATCACTGATCCTGACCTTGGAATGCTGTCCCCCTCGACCTTCATTGGATGGAATTTTCCCCTGAATTTCTTGTTCCCCAATAAAAGGCCACTCCCTGAC